GGAATTCTATGTCCCAGAACGCCATCCGACCGTTAAGCTGATACTGAATGACAGAATGCATTAATTTAAAACTGGACAACTAGTGTGGTTGGGTCACACCACTTATATATGTAAACCTATATGTTATAGGTATATTAGAATAATTGAGCTGATTGTACTGATAAGAAATAATTACCTGTAATACACTCTAAGCTGTCTTTGTTAATGATTATTATTTGTTTTAAATAAATAAATAGATAAATCAATGTATATTCTATTAATATTTTTATAGGTAAAATAAAATCTATTTATAGTACCAGAGGGAGACTTTGTACAAAAGTCGATTGCTTGGGTACCTCTGTCCCACTCGTGTTTCAACCGTGAAGCAGTTGTGTTTGCATGGCTGTGTTTCGGTTTGAAGGGTTAGATATGACGTGAATTTACTGGGTACAGAGAAATAACATCTGAGTCCTCAGGAATGCCAACGCATGGAGGGTATCATGGGCGAAACAGTGTACTCTGTTATGTGCATGGTACTGCTCATGTCTATAGGCGACGGTTACCACTTTCCATCAGGTGGGCCGTCAGCTTGTTTGCCATTCTAAGTTGTATAAAAAAAAGTAACAGTTGTACATAAATATAACCATAACATATATTTTTATTAATTTATGACAAATAATAAAATTAGACAAAATTCTAACAACTTCTACATAGAAATCTCTAAGAAGAGACCTTTACCTTCTTAAGTCATGTATTTGTAACCGTACTGGTAATGCTATTATCCATTTCATAGATTGCGCTCAACACTCACCATCAGGTAAGCCGTATGCTTGCCTAACATTCTCAAAACATATATATTTAATTTGTCTTTATTCTAAATACTTATTATAGTACCACAATTTGTTATTATTAAAAGAAAGAAAGAAAAATATATTATGTAGTACAAAAATTATAGCAACTATTACATCGCTCTACCCGCTGACATTGATGATCCTTTCCACTTTGGTATTGCTGGAAGAGAATTCTTTTAGAGTTAGCTCGCCTTTGTACATTTGCTTACATGTGTAATATTTTTTTATGTATTATTAATGTGTACAATAAATAATAAATAAAATGAATGAGCTATTAATATAACTATCTAAAATTTTTTTTCACAACTAGGGTACAACACAACGTACATATATGTATTATTTTTATTTTATTTATTCAGCAATTATTATTAATAATTAAAAATAATTATTTACCAACAATTGTTTTCAAAATATTATGTAAGTATTTCTACAATCATAGAACTTAAAACAAAGTTAAACAATTTTATATAAGCAAACACAGCATATAATTGATACTAACAATTAAAACGGGGGGGAGAGGTCAATGTTAGTTATGAAGAACAAGAGCCCCATTGTTAGTAATATTGGGTATATTACCAGGACGACCTCCCCGTGGTGCCTCCTAGAAACTATCGTGCTGAATACCAAGTGTATTCATCGCGATGGGCTAACTGCCCTGCCTTTTCATTCTCGTCTATCATCCCTCACTAGTGCCCCGCTGGCGTATACATTCATTTGTAGACAATATTTTGTGTGTACATTGGTGATAAAGTGACGGAAGGAATCAATAATAGCCCACAGCAAGACGGTGTGTCCTTATATCCTTTCGTTATCCCTGTCACACCTAGATTTGTCTTCTATAAAACTTACCATTTGATGGTCCTTCGAGTCTTTTTCTTAAAGAAGAGAATATAGCCTATATCTCAAATTTCTTCTTTTATAATATAATATTTTATAATTATAATATTAATTACTAGCTTTATCCCGCGACACTACACGAGTGAAGCATATGTGCTAAGTTAACATAGAATATGGCCTAACCGTAAACCAAATATTATTTAAATCCGTTTAGCAGTTTTAGCGTGAAAAAATAACATGAAGAAAATACAAACTTTCGCATTTATTGTATTATAATATACATATCAATATTCCTTTCCCGTGGGTTCGTAAAAGGCTATTAAGGAAAGTTAATGGTCAAGGAATTTAAACATCACCAAGGTCTAACTACGGTTGCAAACCCATGAAAACATAGCTAATACTGACAAAACCCTTCTTATAGGGGAGGTCTAAGGTTCAGCAGTGAATAGTTAACGGCTGATATGATGACATATTAATAGAAAAGTAAACAGATTCAATAATTATATGTATATTTATATATCTATTATAACAATTATACTCGTATGTCTATGAATTGTATATTCATTTATTTTTCCAGCAATAAAACTAGCTCTTCTTATAAAGACTAGAAAAGTGTGTGAGGTTTCAGCCAAAGTGAAATTCCGTATTTGTGATGAACAATAACTGTTCTCATCTTAGAGTTTCACAATTATAGCACATGAAATAAGGATATACGCGAAAGAAACAAAGGTAAAATATAATAAAGGTTCTGAACTGAAAAAATTTCTTACCGCGTAAAGCCAAAGAAATATGCAGTGTTAAAATAACATTATTAGAATTATTTTAGTTTTCTATCCGGAAAATTCACCATTTTTTCCAAGGAAACATGAGTCAAGAAACGACAAAAAATTTAAGCCTCGTTTACTAATATACTGCATCCTATTAAGTTAAAATAGAAGGTTCTAATTTTTTTGTTACTTTTCGATTCTTTTGGTTGTTTTGTATAACATTCAGTTTATGTACAGTAGTAGTACTGTATGCAGAACGTTCCTTTAATGATGATGATTTTGATAGCAATCAGTACATAGGTAAAGACGAAATAAAAATATTGCAGGAATTCAATAAATATAGATGGCTCAGGACCATATTTTGTGGAGAAATATGGAAGAAACTACATACGAATATGGCAATGAACTATGGATATAGATGAAATTGTCCAATATTTTTTATTTTTTTTTCCCCGAAAGGGAAAGTCTAAAATGAACTGCAGTTTAGTAAAAAAACTTATCTTAATTAATTATTCGGATAGTTTATTTCCCAAATATATTTTATATGTTCCAAGACACAAGATATTGTAGTATCTGTGTCATTTTGTGAAAAGAAAAAAATAATAAAACTTTTTATATTTTTTCGATTGTATGCACAATTGACCCTGCCTTGTGGTCCTAACATAAGATGGGTCACCACTTCCTTTTTCGTGAGTGGCGTAAGAGGCGACTAAGGAAACTAAGTGAGCAAGAGATGATACCTTTTAAAACCAAAACCTAAATACAATTGCCAACCCGCTTGCCAAGCTTGGTAACTACTCGCAAAACTCTCCAGTAAGAGGAGGCCTATGTTCAGCAATAAATAGTTAACGACTGAGATAATAAATTATAAAATACATAGTTTAACATGATTTGCTACGGAGTCGAAATATCGTAGCCTCAAACCATGTAATAATCTAACAGTTATGCATTTATTTTTTATTTATTTATTTTATTTAATTATATTAGACAACTTGAAGTCCTTTTTTCGTTCGTACATGTACTTAAATACCAAGTTAGTACTTAATTGCATATTAAATATATATATATACATAATTAGGTTAATTATATATGTAGGAATATATTATAAAACTGTACCCTAAAACTAATGACCATTAAGACCTAAAAACACTTTTTCTCCAATAAGATAAATGATGAAGACATTGTTATAGTCATTTTTGGCGACGGCGCACCCCGTATGACCTCGGTCTAGCCATATCGGCGCCAGAGTGTCTCAGATCTTCCTACGTCATTGCGTCACCATCCCCAATAACTGGATAGCGCAAAATGCTAAAAATACACTCAGCTCTATAGCCCTTTGTCCTAGATAAAGATCTAAGTACCTATATATACAGAAATAATATACTTTATAGTAATGTAGGTGGATATATATATATATATATATATATATATATATGGCGCGGCACCAATAGGTGGTGGGGGAACCATATTTTTAGTAATGGAGTCTAACAGTTCCCCAGTTTACTAGAGGGAGACTTTGTACAAAAGTTTCCTTGGGCACCTCGGTCTATTCATGTTTCAACCGTGAAGCAACACATTTGTGGTACATATGATAATGAATAAGTTAGGCATATTATATATATAACTACGACCTTCTCCTAATCATTTTCGATAATATCAACTGATCCAAAAGGAATAACTACAATTGGGCTCTGTATTAATTTTTCTATGTATTAGGTATACATTCCTTAGAATGATAAAAAGCTAACGCTTCGTTTAAATGAAAGTGTTTCTTTTAATGGGTAAGAATGGAAGGGTAACGCCATCTGCGCCACCAGAATACTGCTAGCGGGGCATCAGGGACAAATGATTAATGAGGATAAAAGGCAGGTCGGTTAGTCCATTATAATAGATGGACCTGGAATTAAACATGATGGTTTCCAGGGGGAACGCAAGGAGGTCGACCTAACAGAGTGTATTGCTAGCAATAGGGCGCAAGCTAGATCAAATTATTTACAATCCCTTCCCCCCACTCTTCAAGCGTTACCATTCCTTAGTTCTAAGATGTTAAATCATCAGACTCTATAATTTCACCGGTATATCCCATCCTTCGAACCGAAACTTAGCCATATAAGCACAGCTGCTTCAACTCATATCGAACTCACAACGAATCTATACGCAAGTTAGCGATATTAAGTTTCCCGACCTACTTTGTCATTTTTGCTGCGCGTTGATCAGCGTTTAGTTTTCACATTATCGGATAGATAATAAGTAAATAAAAATAAATATATTATACTATATTAACCATAAAAAAATGGCTACAAAATAAAAAGAAAATACAAAGTATTAGCAGAAACAAGCGTAGAATATCTACGCAGCGCTATTTCGCAGCTCATGTAGCTTCAGGAATCTACTTAATTACCTACAACTACGTAAAATGCTACGCAGATAAGCATAGCATGTGTTTCAATTAAAAAATAACAATTATGAATATATAAAAAAATATCTAATATGTATCAATGTAAGTAGTAAAGGGTCCAATACTTACATTACTCATACATGCGCGTAGGTGTATTTTGGCGGGTAGGCAAAGCGCATGCGTGTCCCGCGATCGCCGCAGTCCTGCCACCATTCTTCAGTTGCACACGTTACGTCGCGCAGTCTCGACGTCATGACCCCGCGCAAAACCAAACGACCGTATTGCCAACAAAAAACGAGTTAAAACGCGTTTTCAACGCGAAAACCAGTGGAAAATACCAGTTTTTAACCTAAAGTAGTAACTAGTGACTGACAGTCGTGTTTTTATATGCTCAGAAAGGCGTAAAACGGTAAACAAATAGTTGCTCAGCCATGGCGATTTTTGTGAATGAATTTAAAATGGTGGACGGCCGTGTGAGAGTGTAGGGCGACGGCGTAATTGGTTTTTATGGTGCTTTGATGACTGTTGAGTCTTCGTGTAGGCTAGGGACAGGTATGAGATGATGGACTGGTGGTGTGCAGAGGTATCGCGGGTGTGGTGTGTCGCGTGGCCGTGAGCGTGTGTGTGTGCGATCGAAGAGGATGAATGACGATGACGTGGGTAGTCCGTGGCTAATGTCTGTTTGATAATGTTCTGCACGACTATCTATCCAATAACGGCGTACAGCCCGCTCCTTGTCAACTATTATTTTTAGATCTAACCAAGCCAACATTATGGATGTTAATGTTTACGTCAATATTATCGTCCTAAGCAACTTAGTTGTTTAGATACGTTCATGTGCATTAAGTTAATGGTTTTATAGCCGATAAAAATATTTAATGTTTTAATCGTCATTACTATTTGTATTGATTGATGAATGAGAATGAAGGCTTTATTGCATTGATTTTAATATTAAATGCATATAATTAGATATCAGAAATTTCATATAACATGAAATGTTACAAGTCTGTCTAAAAGGTTGAATCGTAGGCACTGTTTCTTAATCGATATTGCAACCTTCTGTAAATTAAAGATATAATATTATATAGCATTTATTACACAGTAACTTAAAAGGATGTTATTGAACTACCTACCTACTAGGACTCTCTCAATATATATATTTTTAGTTGTCTTTACGATACTTAAGAAATACCTTTCTTAAATGTTGTGAAATAGGTAGATACTTTATAATAAATTCAGATTTTTATATAGTTTCAGAATTTATGTCTATAAATAGGACAATAAATTCATGCACACAGTCAACAGAGAATCTCTGCACATAGATAAACTTTATCTGTTGTAGAGTGAAGTGGCAAACCTAATGGTAGTTGATAAATTACCCACATAATGACAATATAATCATATGACAATATAACAGTGAATTCTATACTAAGAGTGTATACCTACGAGTATAGGCAATATTATAAGAGTAAGGAAATATTTCTATAAAGAAATTCAGTAAGAATGTGTATTGCATAATATTTTCTTGTAATTTTCTTATAATTTATGAGATAGTGGTTCACACTAACAATCCTATACTTTGCCGTAAAAGTTATATTTCCGGATATTATATCCCATTTTGTTTTTAATTATGAATCCTTCAGTTTAAAATATTAACTTTGACCACCCTTTTCTTTAAAAACTTTATTTGAGTACACGCCGGTATGAGAGGTTGAAGATTTATATGAGAAGAGAGGTCCATCATTTTAAATCGTAGACTCGAAATTTTATAATATAATTTCTAAACATAAAATTAATATAAATTTCTCAAACTATTTTTGGAAAAGCGTCCTTTAAAGGATTGCGGTTACAGCTAAAACCAATGGATTTTATCTACAGCTGAACGTAGGAGTAATCCCTGGAATTTCAGAAGTGATCCTAGAAATTTTACTAATTGAAAGCTCCCAGAGTAATAACTAATTCAATTGTTTCCTTAGAAATTCCTACGGGACTAAATTCGCGCGGGAAAAGTCGCGGTATGAATAAAATACACAATGAAAGAATAAAAGCTTTTTTTTTGTTCCTCTCAAGGGAAGAATCAATACATACACAATATTATGGCTTAAAAGTAAAACTTAATATTTTTATAAGTTATACCTAGTAAAAAGGTATATTACAAATATATTCATAGCAATTTGCAACTTATCTAGGACCTTAATTCATGGGAAATGCAACCTGTACTACCAAGGATCGACACCTTACTACAGAGACATCGTATAGCCGTGACATTTGATTTTAATTGATATTATGGATGATGATAGACTATAATGTCATACATTATTACAGAAGAAAGAACCTAGTTAGTGTTTTCCCATTGCCCACATACTAATATAATAATTAACATATCGACCCTTAACTGTCTACTGCTAAATATAGGCCTCCCCCATAAGGGGGGTTTTGCCAGTAGTTGCCACGCTTAGCGGATTGATAACCGCAATTAGGCTTTGGTGATGTTTTACTAATAAAATTATATAAATAGATAAATTTTGGCAGACGGGTTTGTCATTACTGTGCCAAATCTACTAAAGTTATAAAATCCAAATTCATTCATATTTTCTTTAAATAGGAATCTAATAATAAGAAAGGAATGTTTCCCTGAAGGAATATAAAAAGAGTGGGAGTGGGTTTTAATATTAATAGATTTTGAATTTATAAAGCAGGATAAATGTAGGAAAACTGTAACTTTTGTCAGATTTTCATGTCGAATTTTCTTAAAAGTTAAAGATATTTTCGCGAATTATCTAAAAATATAAGTTTTAGATATTCGTTCGACCGTTCTTCTAAAACATTTTGAATTCCAATAAATCTAAATATTAATCAGAAGTTCTGGATATTTTATGAATTGGACTTAACTAGACAAATCAAGTTCAATTTTAGATTGCACAAACTGCTACCAAAAATAGTGTAAATTAATTAAAATTTCCAGTAACTTCGTTTAAACTATTATTAGAAAGATAAAACATATAAGTAACACTTCTACCTACATAGTAGGTACATGTAGTATATCTACACGTAGGTAGGAGTATGACTATAATACGTGATAGATAGTAACGATTGGATATAAGCTCGCCTTTATATGGATAATTGTAGAGGTGATTATACCATGTACCATTACAATTCCAAATTTTGAGCTTATTTAATTTATGAAGTCGCAAAAGCCTGTTAATAAACACCTTCAATCAACAAATTGTAAAGTTTTTAAATAGTTATTTTCACCGTGACTTTCTCCGTTAGAACCAGATATAACGATTGGCCGGGATAAAAATAGCTTGTATATAGCATATGCTATGCGCATATCAAACTTTATGACGATTGGTTCAGTCGTTAAGGAGCTACGTAGTAATAAACAGAAAAGAAAAAACAAACTCACTTTCTCATATATCTATAATATAGTTAGAATAATTTTATTGCCATATCTTAGATAAAACACCCATACTCTAAACCATGTTTGACAATAAATCTATGTGAATGACAGCTCCTAATATTTCCCATTGAAAAGTGTACAATGGCAGTGCAATGATTATTAAAGCCGTGCTGATTGGTGTTTGACGGACGAGTGGAATATTCGGAACTAACAAATAACGTGGAAGATATACAAAATGTCGGGGTACCGACGGCGGCGCGGTCGCAGTCAACTATGACTGCGGGGGAACGTCGACAAGCTGAGAGCACAATATGATACAGGTTGGTACTACTTCCCTGGCAGCATGGTCACGTCTGCAACTTTAAAAAGATGTCAATCTTCAGTTTATTTAAGACCTTAACGACAGATGTCATGTTTTAATCATCTTAGAGTCTAGAGCCTTAAAAGACTCCCCTTCTTTAGTACAAGAGCACATCTCTAAGAAGACGTCTTTTTTAATCATTTCTCAGATCTTGTTCATAATAAGACTTCATTCTTCAGCAATTACAGAGTCACATTTCAATAAAAACATATTTCTTTAGTATAAAATTTCGTTTCGTTCGTTTCGTTTTTAAAAGTACATAATTTATTTGTTATTTTTGAGTTATGTCCTTAAATCAATGTCATTTTATAGTCCTCATAGGATTGCCGTGTGGCTCCAGCATAGAATGAGCCATCCGTTCCTTTCCTGTGAGTGTCATAAGAGGCGACTAAGGGAACTACATGGTTAATGGATGGATAGCAGCATCCCTTTTAAAACATTACCAAAAGCCGAACTGCGCTTGCCAAACCGACTGCCAAACGTGACAACTACTAGCAAAACCCCCTTATGGATAAAGTTTGTATTCAGCAGTGGACAGTTAGCGGCTGATATAATAAGATTACGCCCCTAAAAAGATGTCCCTTTTTAGTCATTATACATTCGTTTCCTTAAAAAGATATCATCTGTAATCACAAAAAGACCACCATTTTAGAGTTACTTCCCTAAAATAACTACGGAATAATGTCTTATTAAATTTGTAGAGGATTTCTGCAAAATCTATGATACATTTAGGACTGTTTTCAGAGCAATGTAATTTGAATTGTTCACCAGTGAACCTTTTCCACAATATACACTTCTTCTTCTATGTCATGATAAATAATTGATAATACATGGCAATACTGCCATATGATATACCTTGCGTAAGCAATACAGGCTAGCAATTACTGTTGGCTAGTAGAGAAGATACCTAATAAATTCTTTATTGCATATCTTTAAGATCATAATGCATCATGAAGTAAAATTAATAATTAATTTTGTTCCACCCTAATGACAATAATATACATCCTTATTTTCCTTCAACTTGTATATATATATTGTATATATATATATATATATATATATATATATATATATATATATATATATATATATATATATATATATATATATATTTATATATATATATATATATATACCATACAAACATATCTATACTTATTATATTATTTAATTGAACATATTACATTAGTTACATAATAACAATAAATAATAAAAGCCTTATAGGCAAAATCCCAAGTAGGTAGCTACATAAAAGTATTATCTCTTGCCAAAATGATATAAGTGGCAGACAGGCAGACATCTAGTCTGGGATAGGTGCCAACAACCCGTTGGCCACATTACAATTGACAAATTATTATTTCCCTTTCCAGAGGTCGTACTTAGGTAACTTATAGCTCGAAAAACCGATAGAGAAGAAGGATTCTCGAGTTTTGTAAACGCAGTGTACGAAGGCCTCTTCTAGATGGAGTGACAACTTCAAATGTCTTTAAGAAATTAGTGGATGCAGGCGGTTCAAGACTAGTCCTCGTTACAATCAATAAAGGAAGAATTAAAGAATAAAATAATGAACGTAACTTAGGTTAAGTAACATAAGTATGCATTATTATCACTATATATACTATTCGGCAAAATCACATTTTCTAGTTACCATATTTTCGGTGAACATTATATTTCATAAAAATAATACTCGTAATTTACCTTCATACTACTTGAAGCTGTGTGTGGTATCATTGAGCACTCCAATCACCAAGCAATTACGAAAGGCATTCCACCTACCCTTCTCCAGTAATAGGCCATGAATACGTCGTTATACTATGGTATACCGTCTGGCAATGTTAGCACATACACTTACATAAAAATTTCTTGCATTAATTCAAATATCTATTATTCTTAAATAAAAACGTTACACTCTATCTTGTATCTTCATGTCTGTCCTATATTTAGTTTTTACCCGCGTCTTCGTTTGCGTTACCCGGGATATTATAATGTTGATTGACCGGGGTATAAAGTAACCCAAATCATTTTTCACCACAAATACTATATGTATAGTAAATTTCATAACCGTGAAGGTCCCAAGAGGTAATAAAGAAATAAACAAATTCAGTGTTTATAACATTAGTAATAATAAACTCGTACGTACGCTTCGTATAAAAAAAAAACTTTTACATGGACAAATAATATCTAAATTTTAGTAAGAATGAGTAACCATTATTATACCTTAAAAGTATCATAACAATTCAGAACACTTGCGAACAATTTCTCATCGACCATTATTGATATGAGTCCATTATGCCGTTTACATGAAGACACCATTTGCACGGCACGCACAGAATTTGTTATTGAATAATACGAGAATAGCTCAATATAGCTATAAAGCCATATTTAGACAACCTTGATTTGTTCCTGCAGTTATTTATTGTATGATAGTTATGATACGCCACGCGACATCGCAGGCCAACCGAATAAAAGGCCTAATACACTGTCTGTTTTCTGAATGATTTTGATTTATAATCCATTCGAAGGTTTTAAGTTTTATATTAGATTAAATGATTTTATATGAATTATCAGTCATCGTATCAATAATATAACAGCAAACTAAAATTACATTCCAATCTTCTGGATGAACGGCGATCTTCTACCGTGCTTTTTTCAAGGCATTTTCTTCAGCGTTCAAACACGCTTCGGAATCAACTTCAAGCAACAATAATTCTGAAACTATACGATTTTGTAACCTTCAAAAACAGAGCATGTTCCTTTTTACAAGGCCGGCAGCATACCTGTAATCCCACAGGTATTACGGGTGTTTGTAAGGGTCGGCATCCACTTACAATCAGGTGAGCTGCATGCTCGTTTGCCCTTATGTTATAAAAAAAATTTACAGCTGAAATAGCGAGTTCTAAAAGGATAAAATTTGATACAGAGTTTCCTTATATGCAAATATAAAAAATAAAAGTATAATTCCCATAGAAAGAGGAAATAATTATATATTAATTGTATCATTTTTAAATAACTATATGTTAATTATAAATCTAAATAATGCTAAATTATCATGCCAAATTGTGAGTATAGACCATCAAATCGACTATGAGTATAACATTATACAACAAAAGTCACATTTTGAGTGCCAATGTTGGCCCATAATATTGGCGCCCAACTTGTGACTTAAAATTGTTTGTAATGAAAATTGTTTTTCAGATACTTATAAAACGTTTGTCTTGATTGACTATCGACACAGTCAAAACTACTAAATCTAGAAAACTGAATTTAGAGCATAAGTTTAATTTACAACGTACGCATTTGCTATGAAATAATTTTTGAATTTTTTAATTTTTAAGGAAAACATGACACCACGCTTGCAAAGACGTGGACAACAGCTAATTTTCTATATAAAGGGACTGGACATATTTTTTGGCAACTGTAGGTACGTCATCAATAAAAAAAACATTCGGCCGATGAACGACTTCAAATACTAATGAACATTTTATTTTATTTGACATTTAAAATAATTTTATATAATGTTCACGAGCTAATGATATTCGAATATGGAAAATGTTTTGTTGATTCGAAATCAATTAGCACTGATAGGTAAATTTCGGCCAAACGAATAATGCGTATTCGATCTCCGTAGACATGTCAGAGGGGTAAAGGGCACTCGTGACGTCATAGCTTGATGAGGGGCTCCATTAAAACGGTGCTAATTTACTTTTTAATTTAGCATTAGTAAAATCATATAACAGTCCTCGGGACCAATTGTGAATATTTTAGTATTGTCACATGATAGATTTTTAAGGAATTGATTTATCTAGTTAATTTCATCTTCGTGTACAATATATTGTATATCTGTGTGTATATTATATATATTTATTTGTTTATATATATATAATTTTTAGTAAGTACTTAGTATCAATTATTACCAGTACCGCATTCGAGTATTCTGATACTTTCCTAAGGTTGAAAGGTAAAGAATTCTTTTAGCATTAAATCAGCCTTGTACACTTACACGTACTAATAATAAAATAAATATATAAATGAATAAACAATACAGCTTATACACATAATCAAAACTTTATATTAAACTACTTAAGGCGGAGTGTGTGTTTATTGATACCATTTTGGTATAAAATAATAATTTCGTATGTTAAAAGAATTGTACAACGAAAAAAATAATAGCTAAGTAATTTATCTAACTTATGTATCTATATAATTGTTTCTTCTTTTTGTAATAATCTACTTTCAATGAGAGCAAACTCTCAATTCGGGAGTAAACCTTATCCTTCACAAAAAGAATAATCAAAATCGGATCAGAACTTTGACAATGTCGAAAGAATCGTACAGTGCTATTTAGAACCATCTGTTTTTAAAGTCGGTTAATAAAATTAAAATGTCCCGACAGTAAATAGACCACAATAGGTAGGTGCTAGGTATAACTAAGTGTGGACTCGTAAGTTGTGTGCAGTAATTGCGTCGACGGTAGTTGGGCGGGCGGCCAATGCCGGCAGCGGCGACCAGATGCGACCGACCCCCCGCCTTGAATCGTACTAAAACTTTCTACACCCAACTGAAAATTTGTGAATGCACGCGCTAACATTATGTTGGGTTCGTGCCATTTCACAATGATAATAACGTAAAAAAAATTAAGATTTTATCTTTCGAAAAGAAAACAATGACGTCAGTCATCACGTATTATAATAATATATTTAATTTTATTTTACAATCACCCCAATTGTTTAATCATCAAGCTAGGATGCTTTTAGTTTTTATAATACAGACTGTTATAAAAACCGAAGGCACAGCCTAGAACAAACAAACCAAGGCTAGTTTAGAGAAGAACGTTTCTTAATATAATGACGACCAAGGAATCGAATTCGGGACCTTAACTTTTTCACCAATAATGACAGTCATCCAACACGTAAATGACTGTATCGATTGAAAACAAATATTATAAAACTCAAATCAGAT